ATAAATAAATGAAAAACTATAACAACAGGGGCGATTATCCAGCCCCTGGTGTGCACCCTGGCCCAACCCGTGCTCTCCGACTGCCTTTTCTTGGGAAGTCAGTTTTGTTCTCGGCAGAGGACCTTTCTCTGCCCATTATTTAATGTTGAATGAGACAAATCGGGCTGAAGCCAGAAGTCAGGCCTCGGTTGTGGGGTTCCGGAGCCCCAGTGTCCAACCGGTGGCCCGAGGGAAGATGCCCGGATTGCACCCGGGACCCTTGCTGCTAGGCTCTGCTAACTGACGCCCACGGGGCTCTGGACCCAGATCTCAGACGGGCACTGAGGGGCCCCCTTTCGCAGAAGGAAGTTCGCGCACCCTACCAAGTAGATGCCCCCAGGCCAGTGTATGTGTTGGTGTGGGGCGCTCATCGCTGCCCACGCGTGCCGCGTGGGGACGGCCTTGCCTATTCCCGTCCAGGGCAGCAGCGGTGACCGGCTCGGGGCGCCCGGGGAGCAGGGCAGTGCCCTCACACCCACCCCGCGGGCGGAGCTCGGACGGCGCCCAGCGGCGGCGCTCGGGATCGCAGGGCGGGGCAGGACCGCCGGACCGGGCGGGAAGGCGGGCGCACCCGGGCTGGGGCTCGTCTGGGATCGAGCCCGCGCCCACGATAGGCTGAGCCACACCCGCGACACTTGCGGGTCTGCTCCGAGACGCTCCGCGCCGCCGTCCTCCGAGCCTTCAGGGGGCGCTGTGGGCCCACCCACACTCCCGGCTCAGCTCAGACCGGAAGTGTAAGCGAAGATCGCTTCCGGCGCGCTGCGGCTGCCAGGGCGGTGGACGCGGACGGGCACCGGGCAGAGGCCAGTGGAGCCGGTAGTGCCTAGCTGGCATCTCGGCCAGGGCAGGAAGCCCGGGTGCACCACCGCGTCTGGGCCAGCACGATGCCGTTCCTGCACGGCTTCCGGAGGATCATCTTCGAGTACCAGCCGCTGGTCGATGCCATCCTGGGCGCCCTGGGCATCCAGGACCCCGAGCGGCAGGAGCCCCTGGACGGGTGAGCGGCCCGGCGGGGCGACCCAGGCCGGTGCCAGGGGACAGCAGCACGGAGGCCGAGGCGTCGCCGGGCCTCGCCCTGTGCAGGGGAGCCGGGTGGAGGCCGCGAGCGCAGCAGATTTCACCCAGAGCAGGGTGACGAGCGTTTTTGAGGCTGAATTTGCATTTTGTGTAGACAGCGCAGCCCTCCGCGCAGTGCGCCTGCCTCGGGCCTCGTTCGCAGCGCTGGGCCCTCGCGCTGCGCACAGGGGTAACTGCGCGGGGCGGGTGGAGAGTTTGTGGAGTTCCAGCCTGGGATGATTAGCTCTGTCACGGGGACTTGGTGGCAACAGCGGTTTTCTTCACCACCACGCCAGCTCAGCCCACTTTGAGCGAAATGTAGTGCAAAGTGTTTCTGGAGCTGAGGGGTGCTGGGGCGGCTGCTGGCACTTAGGGGCACTGCAGGCTCCTTGCAGGAACTCTGTCCAGATGCCTGTTTAGCTCTGGACAGAAGCAGAGTGGGGAGCTTGGTTCCTGCCCCTGCACTCAAGGGAACCTGGTACCTGTCCGCTGGAGGGTGCAGGTGGGTGAGGTTAGGTAGGGGAAGGCGAGTGGGTGGCGCTGTGGGAGAAGGGAAGCCACACTCAGCGGGGGAAGTGACGGCAGGAGAGGAGTTGGGGACTTCGTGAGAGCTGCGTGCAGGTTTCGGAGCTGTCCCTGGCTTAGTTTTGGGGAGGAGCACAGTAGCTCACAATAGCTCACAGTAGCTGCCGGGGAGGGTGCGGAGGTCGGCACAGGGGTATGAAGGCCTCCGCAGGAGGAGGCTGTGCTACAGGACAGGCATCCTGCAGCTCCTGGGGGACCAGTGCCGCGTGTAGGGCTCCTGAGGAATGAGCTTCAGGCTGGCTGTGGGTCGTGACCCCCAGGGTCCTGACACCTGGGTGTGAGGCCAGATTCTCTAGGGGACTTGCAGCCCAACAGACCCAGTCTTTTGGCATCAAGCCCAAGGGAGGAGCCTGCTGCAGGTTAAGAGGTGCAGCGTGGCCAGATGCTGGTACCCGCTTGTAGTATCATCTGCCTGGGAGGCTGAGGCAGGAAGATTGAAAGTTCAAGGCCAGTGTGGGCAACTTTAAACAATGTTTAAAAAGACTGGGCAAGCACCTCAATGTTAGGACACTCACCTGTCGTGTGAGGCCCTGAGTTTAGTTCCCAGAGGTGAGTGGCTGGATAGATAGATGGTAGTTCAGCCCGGCTGTTTATTGGCTCACACCTCCTGGGGAAGGCTTCCTGCCTCTCAGCTGCAGTGCCCTGCTTTTGGGGTGACTGCTGCAGGGTGTGGAAGACCCCACCCAGGACACCTGGGCAGCCGGTCCCCTCTCTTTGCCACCCAGGCCCCATTACCTAGCCAGCGAGGAGAGCCGGCTGCAGGTCCTTGGGGAGCTGCTGGAGAAGAAGGCACACTCCCCGTTCTACCAGGAGGGCGTGAGCAACGCGCTGCTCAAGATGGCCGAGCTGGGGCTCACGCGGGCAGCCGCCGTCCTCCTGCGCAGCGGGGCCAACCTCAACTTCGAAGGTCAGCAGGGCGACCCCGTCCTCTTCACTTCCTGGGCTCCCTGGTACTTCCCAGTGTGCTCTGCCTTGGCCTTGGGCTGGCTTTAGCGACTGCCAGGTCCCAGGTCCCGGGTGAACCCCTCCTTCCCATGTGTGGAGAGGCGGTTGCTGGCACTGCACCCAATGCTGAGGGAAGGCAAATTTCTGCCCTCATTTCCTTGAGCTGTCCTGTGACTTTGTTCATACCTTTGGGGATACAGGAATGTGCAGGCTTCCTTCTGGCTGATAGTGCTGGGAAAGGGAACATGCCGACCTCCTGTTCTCCTGGGCCCGTAGGGGGAGGAGGTGGGGTGGGGTGGGAGGTTGTCAGCTGGCAGGGCTGCCCTGAAAGTGATCGGGCTGTGCTGACCCAGATGCGGTGGCACGAATACCCGTGGAAGTGGGGCAGATGCGGGGAGCTGTGAGCCCCAAGAGGTATGAGGGGGTCCTGAGGTCCTCACTGGGCACCCCCTGAGAACCTGGGCACTTTGGGTTTCTCTCAACAGTCCCAGGGCAGAGGGGGGGCTGTTTTGTGGCCCCCTTAGACGGGAGGAAGCTGAGGCTCAGACAGGCTCAGGAGCAGCCCCTGGGATGCCCCAGCCCCTAGCAGCTGGAGGACAGCTGTGTCCTGACCACTTGCTGCAGGCTGGGCCCTGGGGCTGACGGCAGCACTGCCTCCTGCAGACCCCGTCACCTACTACACGGCCCTGCACATCGCAGTCCTTCGAAACCAGCCTGACATGGTAGAGCTGCTGGTGCGACATGGGGCTGACATCAACCGGAGGGACCGGGTATGAGTGGGTGTCGCCCACTGGGGACAGGGTGGGGTTCCCAGCGCCTGGCAGCTCCCCTGCCAACCTGGCTGGTGCTTCTTGGCTCAGATCCATGAGAGCAGCCCCCTGGACCTGGCCAGCGAAGAACCTGAGCGCCTGCCGTGTCTGCAGCGCCTGCTGGAGCTGGGAGCCGATGTCAATGCAGCCGACAAGCATGGTGAGTGGTTACAGGGGCACTAGGTAAACAGTTCCGCCCCCGCTTTGTCGAGCCCCTTGTTCCACCCCTCCCTGTGGGTTGACAGCCTTTCCTGTCCCGCTCTGCCTCCGCAGGGAAGACAGCCCTGCTGCATGCTCTGGCCAGCAGCGACGGTGTGCAGGTCCACAACACGGACAACATTCGGCTCTTGCTGGAGGGAGGTGAGGCTCCGCCGTGCCCCCAGACCCTGCTTGCCCCTTGCAGTGGCTCCACCCTGCCCCTCTGGCAGTGCTGGCCAGGCCCCCATCCTCTGTCCTCTGATGGCTCTTCTAGGTGCAGATGTCAAGGCCACCACCAAAGACGGGGACACTGTATTCACCTGCATCATCTTCCTGCTCGGGGAGACCGTGGGTGGGGACAAGGAAGAGGCCCAGATGATCAACCGCTTCTGCTTCCAAGTCACGCAGCTACTGCTGGCGCACGGAGCCGACCCCAGCGAGTGCCCGGCCCACGAGTCTCTCATGCACATCTGCCTCAAGAGCTTCAAGCTGCACTTCCAGCTCTTGCGCTTCCTGCTGGAGTCAGGGGCCTCCTACAACTGCTCCCTGCACGGCGCATCCTGCTGGTCTGGCTTCCACATCATCTTTGAGCGGCTCTGCTCACACCCAGGGTGTGCCGAGGATGAGAGCCACGCAGACCTCCTGCGCAAGGCAGAGACGGTGCTGGACCTCATGGTGACCAACTCCAGGCGGCTCCAACTGCCCGCGAACTTTGACATCCGCCCGGTGGGCAGCCTGGCTGACAAGATCCAGGCCCTGCACTACTCCCTGCGGCAGCTGGAGCTCCGTCCCCCACCCCTCAAGCACCTGTGCCGGGTGCACATCCGGCTCCACCTGCAGCCCTGGCCTGTGGACGCCAAGGTCAAGGCCCTGCCCCTGCCCGACAGGCTCAAGTGGTTTCTCCTCAGCGAGCACAGTGGTGTGGCCGAGGAGGACAGCTGATGGGAGTGGCCCGGCACAGGGTCTGGGCCTCGTGCATCAGCCTGAGGGTGGGGTCCGTCCCATGACGAAGCCTGGGGGAGTCTGCACCCCTTCCTCCATGGGGGTGGAGCGGCTGGACATGTGCAGAGGCAGGCAGCGTGGAGTCCAGGCCCACCCAAGCTGGGGCTGGGGTCCGGAAGCCCCTCCACGCCACACCGTCATTCATGGAGTGCTTTTGGGTGAACAGGGGAGAAGACACCCAGGGCCACTCCAGGCTGGTCTTCCTGGAGGTGCCAGGAACCACCACCGGCCACTGCAGGTCTGGAGGTGGTGTCTTCTGCTGGATGTGGCAAGGCTGTCCTTTCCTAAGGGTTCCCCAGGTGGCCACTAGGCCTGCAACTGCTGCGTGGTCTAGCACCACGCCCTCAAGCCACAGGGTGGGTCATGGCGAATTGTGCAAAAGCCTCTGGGCAGCGCTGAGGTTGCTAAACAATATATTTATATCACAGATTAAACTGATTCTCTTGGCCATGGGGTCCTTGCGTAGTGTTCCAGCCCCCTCCTTCCCTGTCTGGGATGAAGGACCCAGCATGGTGCCGAGGGCAGTGTTCAGGAGACGGGACATGCAGAGTATGGCTACCCAGGGACCTGGCACTGGTCCCCACAGAGCAGTAGGGGAACGACGGTACAGGGACCCCTTTATTTCTGACTGAAAGCGTCCACCCAAGGGGAGCCCTCAAGCATAGTGGAGGAAGCTACACCTCCCCTAGCCACAGGCTGCAGTGACCACCCCTTAGACAAGAGAACCCCATCACCAGAAGGACGTGCAACATGAGCAGCACCACAGGGCAGGGGCCATGCCGGGCTGGCCCTGGGTAGGAGGCACAGGTGTCCAGCCGGGCGCATGCCTCCCCGGGCACCGACCACACCTTCTGCACCTGCGGTCCGCACAAGCACGCGAAGGGCAGCCAGGCCTAAGGCCCTGAACCTGCACAGGGGGCACTGGATGCACGGATGGAGCCCTGGCCTCTCCCCCAGCACCGTCCCCTGCCTGCTGCCCGGGAAGAAGAGGAGTCTGCCCGGTGGGTGGGACAAGTGTATTAAGGCTCTCCACACCCAAGCTGTGGGCACAGCCCAGCCCGCCAGCTGCTGGCCCCACCAGGCTAGGTCCGGCATTGCAAGCCCGCGTTGCTCATCTCAGCGCCAGGCTGTACACGTGGTAGATCTCATCTGGGAGGTTCTCCTGCCTCTCCTCAGCCAGGAGCCGGAGTCCTGCACCGTGTACTATCCTGTGGACCACCTCGAGGTCGCGGCACACGCTGCTGTCCACGTCATCCAGAATCACGCCTTCCTGAGCCATGTTGTCCTTAATGACGATGAGGCCATTGGGGCGCAGCCCACGCTGGCAGCGCCGCAGGAACGCAGCCAGGTGCTGGTCAGTCAGGTGGCCTGGGGAGGACAGAGGCAGTTACAGGGGCAGCGTGTGGGTCCTGTTCCATGCAAGGGAAGTGAGCTAGCTTAGAAGCCACTGACAGGGGCTGGTGAGATGGCTCAGTGGTCTAAAGCACCTACTTAGAACTAAGCTAAGCAAAGCACACGGACGG